TATTTAGTCTGATTCATACTGAAATACTAGATAAGTCGATTAGCTGAGTCTTTTAGAGGCATATTTCTCTTGAGATTATAATCAAACTACTTTATTGCGAGTTGATTTTGCTCCTTAACTTCCTAATTTTTAATTCTTAGTTTAGGGCACAAATATATAGTTTGTTTAACTGAAATTATTTTATATTTAAGGCTATTCAACAAAAACGTATTCGAAGTTAGATTTATTTTATTTTCAGATATACATTTGGTTGTTCAAGACAACGACGAGGCTGGAGCCTTCAGGCTCTGTCAGCTGCCATGTGTTAATCTCTGCTCCCGATGCCACATTGATATGACGGCATCCGATGAGGTAGTGAATTTTTGCGGATAACCGAATCAGGCTTATTCAAACATCAAACCAGTCAACTTTTAGTCTAGGTCCTTATTTAATTGTATACTGCTCGATACCTAAGGCCACTCTAGCCTTAACCAGTCTTTGGGAAGTTTCTTATATTCACAGCAGTAAATTAAAAGCTTAAGAAACAATACATATTTGCTTCTTTGTACAAGATCTTGGCTTTTTCATGATGTTTTTAAAAAAAAGTATCTGAGTAAACCTTAGCAACCATTAAGCGAGTTCCGAATGCACTCCCGACTCATCCAGAAAGTGACGTTTTATGACATTTTATAATTGTATGATGAGCTGCTTTAGCTGCTTTCATACAAATAGCGATTAAGAACTATGCTTTTAATGCAGGCAAGATGCGTTCGCCAATTTATTCCCCTAGCTCGGTAGTACCTTTATTATTAGCCTGCAGTAAAAGCTGCTTTGAAAATGGTTCTTCATCTGTACGTCAAGATACAATTTTTATTGGCATAACTGACTCTCCATTATGTTACAAATGCGGACACGTTCACGTAAAGCAGATTAAACTGCCTTCATTTCTTTCCGGTATTGGGCTGTGAGATGCATGAGAGTATTTCTTTATTTAAGGAAGAAATGTTCGTTGGCTCATTTTATATGGCAAAATATTAAGTTACAATTGAGCCTAGCAATGAGACTGTGGCAGATTAAAATTTTTATGAATAAAGTAAATCCTATCTTCATAGTCCTATGATACCACAATATGAATATTTTTTGCCCCTCGTTATTATACTTTTAACCAAATTTAGTCAATACTTTCTCAACTAACAGTATACTTTATGGCCAACTAGACTGGATATTAGTTTTTTACATAATCCAAAGGTTAATATTTCTAGTAATAATGCATATTTATAAATAAATACAATATTTCCTAAGTCTTTCTTTAAATAAAATTTCATTTTTTGCTGTCAGAAATTCCCTATTCACAAAAACGACTCGGCTCTCTTATCAACCCGTCTGATTTCCTCTTCACTTGGAAACGGCATAGCGGCTTCAGAATCAGCAGTTTCTCAACTTGATTTGGAACCTGATACGTCCTCAGACACTTCCAAGATGGATGTAATTTTAAGCAGCGATAATACCGTTACTAAGATCCAGGATAAAAATCAACAGCTGGAGACAAATTTGCAGTCGATGGAGAATGCAACTCATAGAGTTTCGACTAGAATCTGCACACGGACCATGCAGCCCGTTGCATTCAGTGTACTAGCAGGTTTACAGGAGCCAACGCTAAACTTATCTCGACCTCAGGCTTCTAAGCCAGGCACCGCTTCAAATGGCTGCCACAAAGGTTGTGGTTTTTCGATGTTTCTATTTACTTGCTAACATTATAAAGTAGGGCAACTATTTCTGATTGCATGCATCTTGCATTCGATTAAATATTAGATTTATTCTAAATCGATTGCGCTCGTCTAATAAATCCTGAAAAGCGATTTATTTCAGAAATTAAACACATTATCTTGAAAAACTCCGTAATTCTTCATCATCATAGTTATTTGTATAATTCTCACTCTAAGAAATAAAAATTAAGAATCAATTATTTACATAATTCCCCAATCTGCAACATTTTATGCTTTGAAGTTTTCACATATGCTAACGTCTAATTTTTCCCCTTTTGGAAAAGTAGGCTTTCCCTTTGAAACTAAAGGGTGATTATCGCTAATTATTTTTAAAATACCCTCTCGCTTCTTATTAACCGGGCCGTGGATTCATTCTTAATGGATGATTAATAGTCAATTTCAGCCCAAAATATTTCCTTTACTGGCTTTCATATTTTTTACATTTTACCAGCATACCGAAAATATTACTTTACATACAATTTTAATATTACTAATCAACTCTATTTTAGCCTAGCCTCTTTTTCAGAGATGTATTAGCTGCCGCTAGACAAAATATCTTCCCAAAATTGAAGGATAATGTGGTGATATTTCATTTGTAATAATATTTATAGTTTGCTCCTAATTCATTAGAAACGATAGAATAATACTTCTCTGAATCCATCTCTTAACATTCTTGTAATATATTTAATCCATAAATGCATATGCATATATATATATCTGAGTAAGCATCACTGTGATCTTCGCTGAACCAACGATTTTCGATTTATTGACATTAAAGTTTCAGGTGATCAATTTTCGTTCAAACTCTAAAAGTTCCTCAGAAGCTTCATTGAATTGATTCGCTTTCTTTTAGTATATTCCTTCCATCAAAGTCTAATCGTATTCATTCCTTTTCAAAATCTAGCACATGAAAGCGAAATCCCCAGTCATTTCTTCTTCAGTTTATTTCTTTTTACATTCGTTTACTCTTGTTTTATCCTGATTTTGTTAGTACTATTATTATACTGCTTTATTTTGCACATGCTGGCCACGTACTTTGGTTTAATGCATTATATATACGCTTGGGTGGAATATTATAGTAATCTGTGTATAGTGAAGAAATGAATATGCAGCATATTGATTCATATTTTGCTATCCTTTATTTATTGAATACGCTTTGCTTCAATTTGAATTTCCCACTTTATCCATTATTTCTCTATCAGGCGCTTTAACGATTCCGTGGCTTTATTTTCTTATTTCCTATCAAATTAGCAGTTTTATGTCAAAACCGTTTTATAAACCGCATTTTTCTCAGACTTCCTTTGCTAGACTTATTCCATTTTATATTTCAATATTTTTACAGATATTTTGCAAACGATGTCTATTGCTTTACACCTCTCAGTCTCCAACACGGTCAATATGATTAAATCTTTTTATCCATTTGCGGTCAGACTCTGACTTCTTCCATACATATTTTTAAGTATAATTTTCATGTCTAGCTAGGGATTTAGGAACTAATAGAAGTGGCTATTCCTCATCTCTTAATAATCTTCCTCATTCTAATGTTTATATATATGCTAAAGGCAATAAATTTTTAAAAATAAATAAACAAAGCTTTGCGTTATTAGTATTATCTATGACTTGCGGCTTGTTTCCTCAACATCCACATTAAAGCCTATGGCTATGCAGAAGTCTCATATGACGAAGAAAAGGTATTGAAATGTTGAAACTTAGTGTTTAGAAGGATAAATGTAGTTGATTTCTAGATTTTTAAGAATTAAAAAATTGCCTTGAGTTGGTTGTCACACCCTTTGTGTCGTTTTTGTAATTCAGTTAAATTGCCGGCTTTTTGTGCAAATTTGTCCTCTGAAGTTGATCGAATTAACCTCATTATAATTAGCTAAGCAGAATCTGAACTTAAATATAGGCTCAAGGCCAAAATTCAATGATAAAACCTTATCTTCCGATACCAAAAAAGCATATTTGCACAACTTGAAAGGCACAGATAAACCAATTTACTTGATAAATTAAATTAGAACCTGAATCATACTAGGTGACAAGAAACCCTCAAGTTACAATATATGGATAAGGGAGCAACTAGACCAACT